CTATTACAATTAAATTTGTAATACCAACTAAAATACCTAGTAAATTTATTTCTGCTGGGATTTTATTTTTACAAATTCAGGTCCAAATTGTAATTTTTATTATTTTCGCTTACGAAGCAACGGGCTAGTGGGATAAATTGTAAATATTGCTTTAATATTTAGATAAATTTTCGTTTTTTATTTTCTTTGTGCCGTTGTTGCTTTCAAATTATACCTCGGTCAGAGTTTGTGTGTCGTTGGTCATTTTACTAATTGATTGTTAACTATTATTGTATATTAATTAATATTTGTGTTATTCCATATTACTTTAAACAATTTCTAAGAAAAATTCGCCACATTTTCTTATTATTTGAACCAATTAACTAACAATAAGAAGTTATTAAACATTATTAAATAGTTTTATGAAATGTTAAAACTTTTATTTTAAACTACTACTTTCGATTCACGTATGCACAACAATTACTTACATTATAATACAGATTGAGAAATAGCAGTAGGTAATATAAATTAATAAACGTATATGGGCAATCCAAGTTTCTTCACAACGCCTGTCACGTACGCTCACATTATTTTAACTAAAAACACAATATTGCTGAACATTGTTTTTAATTCAAGACATGTTTTGGAGAAAAACATCATCACCTCTGCACATTCTGTTCAAGGTTGATAGAATTTTGTTGAACAACGAACACACGATACAAGATAGTACTACAACAATCATAATACCATCACCTAGGTATTTGAGTACCTACATACACATAAAAGCATTTTGGTATCTTCTTGTTATATCACACCTTAATTACTCAATTAGTTAACAATTAAACCATTTTTTGTAATGCAGATTAAGGTTGATACTATGTACCATAATAAAGTTCAGTATTCAAAACATCATATTACATCACGGTATTTCTAATTACTTTTTTTAATGAATAATCCGCACTTCTAATCACTATTTATTTATAGCATGATTTAATTTATATGGAATAAATGGAACATTAAGAACAACTTTAAATGGAATATCTTCTTTTATCCAAAAAAGAAGCTACTTCAAAGTGATTGGTGCGTAATCCCAACTAATATTATAAATGCGAATGTGACTTTGTTTGTTACTATTTCACGCCTTAATTACTCAACCTAACATCATAAAATTTCACACATACATTATCAGGAGTACAGAAAAGGACATGGGGTACCCTTTATCCAGAAAAAATATACTATTCCTGAGGGATATAAAGATTATTTTCATGTGGCCGTCGATGATTTTTGACAGGTATTTAGGACTTCAACACGAACGACGCCGAGGGTAAAATCTAATCTACTACAATTTTTCTTTTTAGTATGTACTCTGATGACTTTTCGTTAATATAAATTCCTCCTACATGTACAGCTAAAACAATTAGCTAACAAAAGCAAGATATAAAAGAGAACGTAATATGTTAGGACTCTAAAAACCTTTCCTGCATTATAATGACCTTTCATGAAGGAATAGTAAAAATTGGCAAAATAGGAGGGACGCTGCAGTTCAGCGTTACGGTCCTATTACGAAGGGGTCAAAATTTGCGTTACCGAACGATTTTAAAACCGGGAACTGCACCTTAACGTAATATGAATTATTATTGGAAACTAGGAAATCTTTCTTTTGTGAATTGAAGCCCAAAAGGTTTACAATTCATGTAGGGCTATCAACTGTAGTACATTCCAAAGGACATCTTGCGTTTGAAGTTTGTTGTCCTGGGTCCTGTTGAGATATTTTGCAGGACATAAAATGCCACGGACTTTGCCATGAGGTTAGCACAAATTTTGTAAATAAAAATATGTTTGACTTCAAAATTTGGTCCAGTATCCTGCATTTATTATTTATTATTTATTTTTCTAGTCTTGAAAATTTAAATATTAAGTTGGCAGCCCTAAATACACGCGTTACACTATGAAATTGAATGGAAGGAAGAGGTCAGGCCAGATGCTAGGCGTTGCGAACCTCTTACATGGCGGGAGGGGGTTCAAAAATCAGTTTTAGGGGTGAATTGCGAACTTAATTTACAAAAATGGTATTTAAAGATTAGGCTGCACTAAATTTTGATTTAATACAGATTTTTGAAGTTTGAGGAAATTCATAGCAAAGCTAAGTAGTAAAAAAAAAATGAATACGATTTTACATGAGTATAAGCGCAACGTGATAGCAATGTGACATTTGGATATGCATATAAATTGAGTGTAGATAACGTAGTCTCATAAATAATACTAACTCTTATTTATTAAGTTCGTTTAACATGACATACCCTGTAAGTATAAAACGTAATACGAAAAAAGAAAACAAAAATTCTATTCTAAATTGGAGTGTCAATTCTTTGCTTTACTTATGGCAGATAGACGTTTATTACCCATTGTTCAATTGTTCAAAATCAGAGAAAAACACCGGTTGTTAGTTGATTAGTGTATTCAGATAATTAACAAAACCTCTAGAGTTTACCAAAAATGGAAAATAGGAATTGCGAAATAACTCTTTGTGTTAGTAGCAAAGTTCCACAACGGATTATGCATTATTCTTATTATACACTACATGTACGTACAAAAAAATGCTGTTACGTAAGAATCATACAATGCACGATTACTACAACAAGATGCTAAGATGCACTTATTAGAGTGTTACCTAGAATATCATTTTCTAAGGTATTTCCGACTATTGTTTCTTCGATAATGTGTTGATGTCTGTTTTTCTAAAACAGAAAATGTATTCTAAAACTAAAATCTATTGTTGTAACAAAGTCGAAGTTAATTAATAACAATTATTTTTTCATTTTCTTTGAAAGTTCAAAGGAAAATTTATAGACCGTCCAGAAAATATTTGATAAATAATCTTTTATTAATGTTACTATAGTTCTGATTTCATAAAATCGCGACTGTTTCCTGTGGAAATTATTAAAAAATAGAATTTAATCAAACACTAAGGAGAAAAGTTATTGCTGTTTGTCTGGCTTCAAATTTTATTTAATGAAAATTTACGATATTAAATAGTACCTACTTACCTACACAATTATTTTGCATTAATACGGCATACGAAACAAAAATCACTATTTAGGAAAATTAATAAAAAATGGCAAAGTTAAAAATAAAAAACAGAATTGTCCAGGAATAATTGTTATGATAACCTGTAGATCTTGCTCTAAATATTACGTAGGACATACCGGCAGAAATTTTAAAAAGCGAATGCAAGAACATAGAAATAGTTACGTATAAAACAATTCTTAGTCCAAAATTTTGGACATCTAATGGTATAAAGGATTGTGATGATTTTATATTAAGATTATTAACAAATAATACCTATTGAATGCAAATTATTATAAGGGAGAACCACTATTATTTAAATATTTCCAGTAGATTTATGAGTAATTCGTTTTATTAATGTTTTAGTTATTTTTATAGACTGTACAATAAATTCTTATTCAAATGTTGCACATTCTAGTCGTTATAGTATCTGATAAAATGCGTTTTTTTATATGCCAAAACCCATCTCGGAACTGCGAAACCTTGAAGGACATATTTTGCTTTTTCTCTACCGTTATCCTTATAGAAGTAAACTGATTCATTGTTAAAGAATGACCAATAGGTTTTCTGAATACCGTGTGTATTTTAAAGGATGACAAGTAATTTCAAAAATGTCGATAACCGTTTGAGGCAAACTTACAGAAAACAAGGACTATTATGCATTTAACAGGATTCCAAATATTAGGGCGAGTAACAAAGCCATTTAGAAAACTCCTTAGCGCCCTTTATGTATCGATTATCATCATGTTTCTATGTGAATATTTCTTCAACAATTAAATTTATCGACAATTTTCTTTGCCTCAAACGTAAGCAAGTAGAAAAATCACGCGATTCTTTTTGTATTGAAAATTGCTCAAAACTACTTAAAAAAAAACTTAACATTATACATTGTTATTTCTTGATAAAGATGCAGTTATTTTTAAAAAAATAATTTGTTTATGTTTTGCAAAACATTAATTTTGAATTTATCCTGCTGTATTTCTACATTGTACATAATAATTGTCAGAGCTGTTTTAGGAAAATCCCGTGGGAGTCTTTTAGCGAGCGTTTCTAAAAATCGTTAATGAATATTTAACATTGCGCTAACTTGGCGGTGTATCTATTAAACAACAATTTCATAACAGCATTATGTCCCACGCGATTTTAAATAAAATTATCTAACCACTAGAAAATAATGCGCCTTTTCGTAATTTAAAGACTGATAAGGAAGAAATTAAAATATATAATTAAAATATCGAATCAAATTCAAAAATAAATTTTCAAATATGGCTTAATGTTTTTCCAGTCATTTAATATTAAAAGAAAATGAAAAGATGGTCTGTTAGAAACGATTGAATAGCGTGTTAAACATGAATATGTTTCTATTTATATTTGTGAATTAATTAAGGCCAAATGAGCAATTAAAAATTCGCAGATGAAACTATTTTACCACAATAATTCAAATGTGACGGAACACGTTGCAAAATAACCAATGTTTTTGATATCTATGAAAATGAAAATGAAAATTGTCCAGCCGGAGCGAGGTGGACTCTCTTAATTTATCGCAAATCCTTAAAAAATATATCGAGACTCACCCTCTTCCATTGAAGTTTCAGCCATGACATTTGTTTGGTTATACGTATTTCCAAGGCAACCGGTGACAGTAGTAATAATAATTATGATATAAACAACAACAAATCCTCACTCACACTACAGTAGGTAAACCGGGAATTCCGAACTAATAGGTACCAAGAGTGCTAACAATAAAAATCTTCACTAACTTTCGTCAAGATCACAAAAGCTTTTAATTGTTCTTATTTAACATTCCTGATGTCAAGCAGAGAGCAGGTAAAAGCATTTTACGATTACGGACTAGCACCACAGTTCGTCCCGTGCGTTTGTATTTTGTAGGCTGTCGTGGTCGAGGAGGTCGAAGAAGTCAGTAGTCGGTGCAACAAATGTAATAATAGTAGGAAGGCCGTTCGCTACCTGCTGAAGCGCAGCGAACAACACACTCCTCGGAGGCGTGCAGTACAATTTTTAATTAGTCCAGAAGATAAATTTGGATAATAAGATGGAACATCCGGGGTTAAAAATAATTCCACTTTCGACGAGACAGTGAGGAAACACATAAACGTTAACGAAACACACGGAAAGCGAGCACTTTGAAGTAGATGATAAATGTCAACTTGACGTTAAAAACTTGAATTTAACATAACGAAAAAAATCACTCCTGCTTTCTTTTTTCTTTTATCGGGCATAATAAAGGAAATATCTTTTTACGGGCGCTGTATTACTCTTAAAAAAAAATAGACGCATTAAAAGTATGTCTATTTTTGTTTTTATGAAAAAGTACTTTTCACCCTTGACTTCGTCCTCCTGAATCATTTTTTGCTTGTTTGTAATAAATACAATTGTTATTTGTAACACAAGCATGCAATTAAAATTAAAACTAGTTCAGATCACTCCCGACAACTTCTTTTTCATGTCTGTGAAGTCCAATCGCAATTGGTTCAAAAGTTTAAAAGTTTAACCCGTACAGACACACATACAGACCAAAATTTTGTTAAGAGTCGTTTCTACAAAACAGCATTGCAAGTATAAATAATAAAAAAGTCGAAATAAGGACGTAGCTACAGTAGAATCCGGATGGGCCCATGTATTGAATATTCTCTCATGTGTTGATCTGTTGGCTCACTCTATCGAACGACATGGCCTAGAGGTTTAAACTTTAACCCATTGTATCGTTTAGCAATGGGGAGGACACTGGTTCGATTCCGGGTCCATCTGCTTTGGTCCAAGTTTTGTCCTGATTCTCTTGAATCACTTAGCCAAATGATAGGGCATGCATTAAAACTCCACATATAAATGATCTTTCACCCTTTTCTGTCTGAATTTCGACCACCACCACCTACTCATTCCCGCGATTTATAAAATGAGGCGAAAGAGGGTCTTCCGGCCCACCCTTCCACGAAGCCCGGAGGAACATCCCACCCGCCAGCATTAGTAGTTGGCTGGAATGAAATATCTAAAAGTTTCTTTTTGGCCTACGCTAAATATTAACTTCACACCCTCATAAAACGTAGAATTTAAATTTTTAATGATATCGTAATATCTGTAGTTTGTCCAAATCCGATTGTGAGTTAGACTACGAATTAACCACAATCATTTTCAGAATGCATTAATACGCTTTTGAATATGAGTTCTAATCCATCTTCAGTTGAACTCTATCTCCGTTATATCCAAAAATGTAAATAACTCCTTCGCAATTCCATGATACCTTCTGGAGTAGAACACTGTGGTATAACCATCTTTTGATGCATCATCTACTATGAAAATTTGAAGTTGTCATAAAGTGATATTGCTTATTTGATTGAACATTTCTCATAAAACAAGGCAATTTTATTTTCAATTCTATATTTAACTTGGAACAGCAAGAAGAGCTAGTTAGAGACATATTAGTAGCAGAAACAACAGTTAAGAGGAGAAGACACATACTTAGATTAGATTTTACCATTCACATATATTTAAGGATATGGGATGTTCTAGTGTTAGGGAAATGCGAAGATTAGCTCAGGATAGGAAAAAGTAAAGATGCGTCTTAGGTCTGACGACCTTATGATGATGATGTTTGTACAAGAAAATCAAATGGATTTCTGTGGAAGTGAACTTATCAAAACACCGAAACCATAAAATTCCAAACGTGTTTCAACACCCTCAATTAGGGATAGCTTTAATGTTTTATTTATAACTTGTTGGATGCGTTTTGCGTATCAGAATAGTTCTAATACACCAGTAAAACTGTGCGATAGCAGTTTAAAATGCTTCGAAACAATTGTAAATAATTGTAACGCTATCAATGTTTTCTAATACATCTTTCAAGAGAATTTTCCCTTTATATTAAGTAAAAAATATTTAATCCTATCGTCATATGAACTGGTAGAAATTCTCCATTTATAATGAATGGTATTTTTATTTTCAGGCTGAATCCTGTTTTGGCACCAACCAGTAAGTTTGGTCCTGATTTTTGACAACACCAAAAACTACGGCATGGTAAGTGATTTTTAATTTACACGCAAAAATTTACTTCCACAAAAATCGTGATATCTTATCACTTTTGATGTTGACAATATTTAACATGAGTTTGCAATCATCTGAAAATAATGTGAAAACCGCATCCAATTTCACAATTAATTGTTCCTCATGGGCCTACAGAATTCAAAAGGCTTATTTTCGTGTTTCTTGGCCCTCACTCAAGAGGGCTTGTAATAGATTACATCCTTCAGGAGGAAGGAAGTACTAACACTATTTTTGATGTCTTTTTTCAAGTTCGTTTTTATCTTTCAAGTCTAAATTTTAAATTACTTTTCATTTCTAAATCTAATCTTAGTAATTTTAATTCATTTTTCATTAAATTTAGTTGTCATTAAATTCTATTTTAATTTTATTCGTCAAAAAAGTCTAAAACCATCAATAAAATTACCTTTATGCATATTGGCTTCTTCTACCTTCCGGCGTCCATTTGATTCGTTTCATGGTGAGTCATTGATAAAATGGATGCTGTAGAATATTTGCATAGAATGAAAAGAATATTTACAAATGATACTGTAAAAAAAATTTATTAAAAAAAAACAGAAATTTTCGGAAAAACTTTATTTTACATTGATGAAGAAAACAAATAAAATAAATAAAAGCATACAGCCGTTAATTCAGTCTATGGCCTGAATACTACAGCCAAATCCGACGCGACATGTTGTTGTTTAAAAAATCTACTTGGGGCGTATAAATTGGACACATACATATATCAATATTTATATTATTCCTAGCAGGAAAGGAGGAAAAATTGTGATGTTTTTTCTTTATTGGTGTTAATTTGCCCATAACTAGTGCACACGTCAGACTTGCGCCAAAATAAGAAAAATTTAAAATACTTGTTCGATTACAGTAATAAATTACCTTGTGCTAAATTGATATATTTTTAGATAAATCATTTAACATTCAAAACGAAAAATCGCTTTCTTCGAATAATTAATTGACTCTTCCGTAAGCCTTCTTTTTTATTTACAAAAAAATAATACGCAGATTATAATAACAACAACAAATTATTATTATTATTATTGTTATTAAATCTTTAATACGACCTAATTGCGGGTGGTACAGTTGCGCATTCCTTTTGGTCTAACGTTTCATCGATCACGGGCCTAAATTTTATATCGACTTTCCCCGTTCCGATATCGACCGTTGTAAGGGTGTGCTTCCTCCAATGTTGCTCCATTGGTTTCTTCGTTTGTCCCTCCAACGGTTTTTTATAATCGTACTCGTCCACTCTGTCCTTGAAGTCTTCTCTGGCGTGAGCTCCACGAGATTCCTTTCGATTTTCGGCGCCCGTGATCGTTTGGACGGCGCATATCATCAGATTCTGGAGCTCGAGCGTTTCCACCAGGTCTGTATTCCAAATGAGACTGCGATCGGTGATCTTAAGGTCAAGCATTTGCCTATAAAGATCATGCATCTTCTTAATACCCTCCTGCATTACGTCTGCTGTTCTAAACACGGCTGCATGCGCCTGCATGGTTTTCTGCATGTCCAAGCGTAACGCGGCTGTTGGAATTGACCCGTTGAGGTTACGTACCCAGTCGATATTGCTGACCGACGATTCTCCAGCATTCTAAAATGGTTAGTTATGAATGTAAAACGATGTTTCCTAAACACCAAAAGCGAAAGAAATTCCTAGCTTTAGTCTTTATGCGCTTATTTCAATATAACATTTGGCTTAGCCCTCCGGAAGAAGTGTTTTTGCATGACGCTTGGGTCAAGTGAGGTTATCCTGAATCATTTTTCAGCTCCACTTTCTACGCCTCCACCTGTTCACCCTCACCTCAAAATTTTTGTTTTGATGTTCTACAAGGTCACCCCTCCCCCCCGTACTCACCTTTTGTGCCCTCCCCACCGACCGTGGACCCCATTTTGAAAAAAGAGTTTCTAGATAAAAGATGTACTTACGTCTTTAATATCTGAAATCGGTTCTCCCGGTTTGTTTTCTTCGGCTATCGTTTTGGCACAAGCCCTACCAAAAACGACCAGATCTAGCAATGAATTAGCACCTAATCTGTTAGCCCCATGGACACTGGAAGATGCAGCTTCTCCGCAAGCGTATAATCCTTTGACCACCTTGTCCTCTCCACTAAAGTTATTCAATACCTGAATGTCAAAATTACATTGACGTTACAAAGAATATCGTTTGTTGCGTTTCCAACGTATTATTTATTAAGTTTGCTTACTGGGTTAGTCTAGGGTTAGTCTGGACGATTATTAAAATTTACCTGACCCTTAAAGTTTGTTGGTACGCCTCCCATGTTATAATGTACAGTTGGAATTACAGGTATGGGTTCTCTCGTCACGTCGACGCCAGCGAAAATCTTCGCTGACTCCGAAATACCTGGTAATCTAGAGTGCAACTGCTCTGCCGGTAAATGATGTAACTGTAAGAAGACGTGGTCTTTTTCGGGACCAACTCCTCTACCTAAAATACGATTCTAACGATAAACACATATTTACATACGATAGTTTTTAAAAATTCGCGATGACTACGAACGAAACTCCTTGACGCGAAAGAAAAGTCAGAGACCGTGAGATTTGTTTCGTATGAACGTCAAGAATCGTATGATTTTAAATAGATAACATTGATATTAAAGACCGATTAAGTTGTTACCTAAACCGTTAAACGTTGATCGCGATTTCAATTTAATCAAATCTCAACAGCACATCACAGAGAGTCTCGATAAATCAGTAATCAAAACGAAGATAAGCATGCAATATCCAGTTATAGCAGAATATCGACATGTAGGTACTGATATTTGTTGTAAGCTGAAGTATTTCAAATTTTAAAGGACCTTAATAAGGTCCAATGTGGTAAGAGGAATGTATATATCAAAAAGAAAGAAATGTCTAGTTCCTATTACCCAAGCAAAGTACACCAGAGCGATAAACCCTTATAACGTCTCCGTTTAAGCCATCATTAGTATACATATAACGACGAAATATAACGTATTTCCTTGCAGCGGTCAATGCGATTTTAATGGCGTAAATTTGACAGTTTATAACTTTTTAAATCGGATATAACGATGTCTTGGTGGTCTGAGATAATTAGAAATTAGGATGTTTTAAATATGTGTGGCATATCTCACTGTAAGCCAGTTATTTTTTCGATTGCCTACATTTACGTAAACATATTATCAGCAACATTCTGTAGCCGATATTAAATAAAAATGTTATCATTTTTAGACCAAACATGATGCAAGTAACCTCACATTAGGTCAATAGTTTGTGTATATATATAAGTTAGAAGATTAGTTGCTTATTAATTATTATCTGGACTGACCACACGCAGACGAAGTTTCATTGAAATATTTAGACTAGCATGTATCTAAGCTGTTTAACATTAGGAAGTGAGTTGTTTGTTAATTATCTAGACTTTTTAACCACATGCATTTAATTGAATTATTTACTCTAACAAGTATCTAAACTTTTGAACTTGACCTTCTCCATTACAGAGCGAACGCAATAAATAGATTCAAGTTCAAAATGATAATTTATTTTGTAATTGCTTTCCCTTCATTTTGTTCTTGCTAAAAATTAAAAACCTACCTTCTCTGATTTCGATGGTCATGGCTCTTGACACGACATCTCTGGAAGCCAAGTCCTTGGCAACTGGAGCGTATCTTTCCATGAATCGTTCGCCCTGAGAATTAATAAGGAAGCCACCCTCTCCACGGCACCCTTCGGTGATAAGGCAGCCAGCACCATAGATACCCGTAGGATGGAATTGTACGAATTCTAAGTCTTGACTTTGGAGACCTGCCCTAGCCACCATACCACCACCATCGCCAGTACATGTATGGGCAGATGTGCATGAAAAATACGCTCTTCCGAAACCACCGGTCGCTATCACCTGCACTTGGACAGATAAAAATCATGCATTTATTATTTTATTTAGGGATGATTCTTGTTCTGGCTGAATCTGGTTGCGACATTCGTTGGCTTTTATTTTTTTGAAACGTTATTAATAATTTCGAAATATCGAAAAGGTATTTCAACAAATTTTAAGTCAAAATGATTACCTGTGGATACATACGAATTTAAGGGTTTAAAACTTTATAAAGATTTTACATTGTACTCGATTTAATGTCAATTTCATTTCATTGGCATTTAAACCAGACAAAATTATGTTTACTGCTTTAAGGATAGTCACATAATCTTCCAGGATTATTGATTTGTTGCAGTATAGTTGGGACGTTTTAAATTGGCGTAGTCTGTAATAAAACTGTCGTAGTTACTTTTTTCTTTCAACTTACTAACTAGACTAGAGCAGTTGCTGTCTGAACGTCTATTTTTACTCATGACAGACGTTTTATGGGGAATACCGTAAACATAGAAAAGAGATGCCAGGTAGGAATTGCAGCGGACACTAATAAAGAAAAATGGATAACATTATACCAAGACCAGGCAGTTATAAAGCCGATCCTGGTCATTTCGGTACCTATGCAAATATTATTCAGTTATCTCTTTTCACATTGTCTGTACTACCCATGAAGCATTTCCTAACTTAACAAGGGTGTGTTCAAAACGAAGCAAATTACTAGAATCACAACTGAAAGCAATTTTAATCGTCCCAACTATTATTAGTATTTTCTTTCGTTTATCTATTGTGCTTCATAATAAATCAGTAGGTAACTATTATCCAAAAAGCAATTACCGTATTTTTCGCTTTGAATCTGTGTATGGTACCGTCTTCCATGGAGAGTGCCATAACTCCTTTACATTCTCCATGTTCGATAATTAAGTCTGTGGCAAAGTATTCGATAAAATAGTTGCAGTCGTACTTTAGTGATTGACCATACAGGGTGTGCAAAAGGCTGTGACCGGTTCGATCGGCTACTGCGCAACATCTATGCGCTTGACCGCCTTTGCCAAATTTTAAAGATTGTCCGCCAAACGCGCGCTGATAGATTTTGCCGTCTGTTGTGCGCGAAAACGGCATACCATAATTTTCCAGTTCTATTACGGCTCTGGGAGCTTCTCGCGTCATATAATGGATGGCGTCCTGGTCTCCAAGCCAATCGGAACCTTTTACCGTGTCGTACATGTGCCATTGCCACATGTCGTCTTCCATATTACCTGAAATGTAAATTCAACTAAGCAATTTTTATTCATTTTCTCTTATTCTTTCACTGTCGATATTAAATGGAATCAAGCAATAAGTTTATGAGTTTTAGCATTTCCATTTTCAAGATAGTGTTCCAAATGATTTTGGAATCGTTACATTAATGTTCAGAGTTTTCCAATTTTTTACTAGATTGTGATTATTCCAACTCGTGATGGCGAATTTAGCTCCTCTATATGTTGTAGTAATCTCTACATCTTAAAGCTACGAAGCAAGTATTTTCAAGAAACCTCATGCATCCTTAATCCCAATGATCAATATAAGAGCAAAGGTTTCATGGCCGGAATCCATAGTAGAATGAAGATTCGGTCTATAGGGTCGTGGTCTAAGTGAACTATTCTGTCCCGACGTTTCGTCAGCTACTGCGGCTGACATCCTCAGTGGTAGTGCTGCGTTGACAACGTGAACGTAGGTTATATCTTTATATCTCCAGACGACTTCCCAAGTCGCTGTCGAGACTTCGAGATATAATCTACGTTCACGTTGTCAACGCAGCACTACCACTGAGGATGTCAGCCGCAGTAGCTGACAAAACGTCTGGACAGAATAGTTCACTTAGACCACGGCCCTATAGACCGAATCTTCTTTCTACCCATGATCAATGTCATGAATAAAACTTTCAATTCGTTAATAACGATAAAATTGATGTTTGTATTGCCACCTGTAAATCCTTGCACAACGAAAAATAGTTCTGCTCTGTCCACGCGTCAAAAAAAAAATCCAAAAGGATGAAATGAAGTTTACAATGAGTATCAACAAAATGGGCGACAATTCTGTAGTACTCTTTTATATTGAAAGATAGCCAACCATTTATGGTGAAGGACAGTTAAATTGCATTTCGTTAGAAAATATTTAAGGGTATTCTGTGCCGCCTCAAATAATATTTTCGTTGTTGAAGACATACGACCCTATATGATGATAGCGATGTAGAGGGATTTTTAATAGCATTCTACCCTGTTTTCCTCGATAATTTGGGTATCAGCGGCAGGAAAGCTGAGGAAGCAGTGCTGTTATTGAAAGTTGATGAAAATACCGTGGACATTGGAAAGATTTAGAGAACAAAGGTATTATGGAAATTGATAATGAAAAGGAAGAATACGACGATAGGACATCTTCTGAGACATGAAGACGTCCTGGACTGGATTACTGTTCGGAAACAGTTAAGGATGTATTATATTAAGGCTATGTTTTTGGATAATGCGAAGATTGACTCAAGACAGTAAGGAGTGATGGTGAAATACATAGCTCTTTATTACCTTCCTTATCCTGTTGTGTGATGTTATTGGAAGAAATGAAAATGAAAATACCACGAAATTAAAAGGTTAGAAGTGAGGAGATATTACAAAGGGTAGGAAAACAAAGGCGATATGGATGTTGATATTGAAAAAAGAAGATAGGATGGTAGGGCACCTTCTGGAGCATGAAGCTTACTGTGGATCTGCCGTTTGGGATAATACGAAGATTGACTCAAGATAGGTAGCAGTGGAGGTGTATATCCAACCATTCTTCCCTATTTTCCAAAGCAATTGGGAGAGTAAAGCTGAAAAAGCTTTTGAAGATGAAGTGTTATCATTGGATGATGAAAATATTGTGGATAGAAAAGATTAAAAAGGAGGAAGTATTGGAAAGTGTAAGAGAACAAAGGCACTGTGGAAGGTTATAATGTGAAGGAGAGGCAAAATGGCAGGACACCTTCTGAGGCATAAAAAACACCAAGATTACATTACTGTTCGCAAATGGTTAAAAATTTGTGATGTTCCAGTTTTCGGAAAATGCCAAGATTGACTCAGGATGGGAAGCAGTGGGGATGCATTTTTAACAATTCTTTGAGCATATGACATCCCTATAAGATTATGATGATGACGTACATGGCTCTTTGTATTTTCCCTGTCTATTTTCCTCGACAATCTGTCTACCAGGGAGAGGAATGCTGGGATAGTTCCGGAAGATGAAGTGTTATTAGAAGATGTTGAAAATACCGTAGATAGAAAAGATTATAAGTGAGGAACTATTGGAAAAAGGATAGAAGAACAAAGGTGCTGTGGAAATGGTTGAGAATGTGGGATGTTTCAGTTTTCGGAAACCATCAAGATTTGCTGAGGATAGGATGGAGTTGAGGTGCGTAACTAACCAGTCTTCCGAATTTTGATCTTAAAGGATGCTGATGATACATGTTTCTTTCATACCTTCGTTATCTTCAACGCATTGCACCCTGTATGTTTTGATGGGTACGTTAGTCATTTAGGAAGTTAGTCTGTCAGTATGAAAATGCACACTGAGAAACCGTATCTATCATTTGACTTTGACTTGAATATTATATAGAAGTATAACGCTATACGCTTTACTGTTTGCTATTAATTCGAACTGGATACTTCCAACCATACCTGAGAAAAAAATTGTTGAGGAGCAACAAAGTGCCGCTGTATGGATTCCGTTTTAACATTTCGAAATACGGAATCCTAGAAATCGGAACATACCTACTTTTTAATATTCCAAATTCTGTAAACAAAATGGAAATGTAGAATTGATTTGAATGTTTTGGACGATTTCAAAACGACCAACATTAACAATGAAGTTACCGATAGATTTAAATATTTAGAAAGTAATTTAAATTTGTTGCCGACGGTAATAATAAAAACGTAGTTTCGTCGTCATTAAACACTAGCAATGAATAATTATTGGATGTACCGGTATAGTCTAATGTCTAATAGATAGTTATACGTATAAAGCCTTTACATTAATGTAAAATTACAAAATGCATACCTTCCTACGTTATTAGTAATATATGTTTATAGAAGAATCGGGTTTAATTCTATTGTTTATTACTTTCGTGATAACTTTGCAGTCAGTTGTAAGGCATACTGATAAGAAGTATTGTTTACGTAGGTACTTCATAAAAATACATGAATGTACTACATAAAAAAAATGTAAATTTCGTAAAAATAATAAAACATTCGAACTTCTGGAACTCGATTTTCTCCAAATCGAATAATTTTTTTTATTCTTTGATATATATCTATTCCAAATCCTTTATCTCGAATTTCTCCGTTTTTCTAACTCGAATTCGAGTCCAAATGAACACACAACTCAATAAATTAATTAATTACTTTACTTTATTTTCATTTAATTCCATAATTCTGAATAGGTAAACCTAATTAATTAATCTTTTATAAAACAATACTGCACTCTTTAAAAATATCACAAAAGCAAAAACAATAATTAAAAATATTCTTTCGGTTTTATACAAAAGGCACCTATTTGGTTAGTAGGATGCTTCATGAAGTTACGCCATCGAAAAATGTTTTACCTAAGGCAGCATTAATTCCTCCTTGTGCAGCCACGGTATGCGACCTGGTCGGGAACAACTTTGTGACAACAGCTGTTTTGAATCCTTCGGCCACCAGGCCAAAAGCAGCCCTAAGACCTGCCCCTCCGGCGCCAACAACAACAGCGTCATACGTATGATCTACCACGCGATAAACTTTCGAAATACCTTCCGATACTTTGGCATCTCTTCTATCTACAGAAATATGAACACCTCTACTTATCACAGCTGAACCCTAAAAATTTTTTTTTTTGAAAGTTATGAATTTAACACTTACAAATAGGTGTATTTCATCTTCACAAGAACTTGGAAAGCGCAAGTAAATTCGAAAAAATTTTTAGAATATAATTTGGACGATATTCACCCCCTTAAAGAACCGTGAAGTATTTCACCCCTGTATAAAATGTAATATATTTCTGTTAAAGGTTTCAGAAATTTTTGTGTGTAGTTTTATGCGAAACAGAATGTGTAGAAAATTAATTTTGCCGTTTCTTTTCAGGAAACCGCATTTTTAGTTATGTAACATACAAATAAACAACGCGTTATTATTCGTTAAAAAATGAACATCAGAGTTTACTTACTTTAGACAACACATTCTTTGATAAAAAACAATTTACTTTCAACAAACTCGACATTTTTTCAAAACATTAACACGCTTATTTTACTATATAGACAACGGCAAGTTCACTTTTTGCAACCACAAGTACGCTGTTGCTGTCTGCTTTCCCACTATGCTTATTTCCTTTCTTTATCGTTACTGATTTCATTTTCCAAGCAGTGTGGCCAACGATCGAATCAGAATCATTGCGCTGTGCTTTCCTTTAGTCCTGCTCTAGCTTTAATGGCTTTTGTCAACACAAGATGGCAGCTACTATTCCATTGGTTTTTAAAATGAAAACAGTCACCATCTTGTTTTTCAAAAGGGAAAAACCCTTTCTTGTGCTTCAGTTATTACTTTGGATAATGATATTTAACAATTAAGCAATTATTAAAAGACTTGTTACCATTTTCGTTAACTTGTTGGGCTTTTTTTGTGTAATACATGTGTATTTTCGCATATTTTAATTAAACCCTTAGATAAGATGGCGGCTGATGATACGGACGCAGACAATAACCTCTTCATACTACTTTTTCTTTAAGTATCCAATTATTTCAAACAGTATTACACTTTTTAGTTATGTATCTCATATTAATTTATATTATAATAGCAATTATTAGTTAATTGAAAAATTAAAAATATTATAAGTATTATAGTTGATTAAAATATATCTTATTTCAGCTTCTAACATTATTGAAATATTTGAAAAGTGTATTACTACTGTTGTTTAGTTCATAATTTTGTAGGAATTCCCTTCAATACGACTCAGATTGTTTATAACTAAGAAATAATAACGTTTTCGGTGATATTAAACTTTATTAACAAACATTTAAAAAAATATACATGTATTTTGTAATTAAGAGTACCTACCTACATAAAAACTACAAAGCTAAAGTTGATAACCACGCCGAGGAGTATGTCTTTCAGGAATAATATTTTTTTGAAAGACTACGTGGTCTGAAACAGAAGAATTGCGACGTTAGCTTCAGAAGAATAAAAAGAAAGCAAGTAAAATAAAATGTTAACATTATTAGTTATAATAGCTAGAATTACAATACTGATTCTTTAATTAATTAATAAGAACAATTCATTAATACCTCAGCAACAAAACTTGTATTCGAAACTATGAACAATGCAAAACATTTTTAATAAAATTGGGAAGAACAACAGTAATGGTCTAATAAATTTTCAATAAAATGTATGCATTTGATTGTACATTGTTTGCTACTGTTACAAATGGGTTTTCCAGAAGCTATCAATATGATGTGGATATAAAATATCGTACAGTTAAAAAGTTTATTGGTCTTCAAGAAATACCGGATTATTAATAAAGGCTTCCGACTTTTCTCTTTTTCCGTTTTCCCATCTAAGAGGGTGTTGTTAGAAAAGGAGAACTTAAGACGTAAATGTAAATTTTCGTGAAAAAATATGATAATTAGTGACGAGGAAAATTGGTCTTGGTGTTGCGGAAATGCAGGACCAAGACCAAACCTGTCTTTATACTAGCAAGACTAAGACCAAGATCGAAAGAACATGGGCAAGACTAAAACCAAGACCAGCATCAAATACGAAAGACTAATGAGTTAAACTATTTGAAGCAAGTTTAATATATTCTTTTCTTGGAAAAAAACATGTTTAGTATTTGAAATTTTCAATTATCCTTATTAGATTTCAACAAAATATAAAGAAAAAGAAACTTTACCACTGCTTAAAAAATAGGGATCTACAAGAATGTACTCGGAGTAAGTGTTCTTCGTTCCTATGCCTGTATAACACATGGTGGAAATATAGAGACAAACTAATTTTTTTTTTCGATATTTTTTACTTCTTACGTTCGCTAAAGGATCAATTTATGGGTTGGAGGAAGGCTACGTCCTCGAGCTTTCATATTTTTCGCAACTATCGACACTATTTACATTAAAAGTAATGAAAATTAAGACATTTATTGTGTCAGTACATAGAAAAATTTGTGCTTGGTCTTGTTGATATAGTTTCGGTCTTGGTCGTGGTCTTGTTGATATAGTTTCGGCCTTGGTATTGGTATTGTTGATATAGTTTAGGGCTTGGTCTTGGTGATATAGTTTCGACCTTGGTCTTGGTCTTGTTGATATAGTTTACTTGGTATTGGTCTTGTTGATATAGTTTCGGTCTTGGTCTTAGTCTTGTTAATACAGTTTCGGTCTTGGTCTTTGTCTTGAATGTTAAGTCTTGATCATGCTCATTTAATTTGATACTCTGTTTTTTTTTAGAAACTGTTCTCAACACAAATTTTTCTATTTATCGTCACAATAAATGTCACAATGTCTTGGTCTTGGTCTTATTTTGCTTTGCTCATCACTAATTGAAAAAGCTTCTGAAGTATATATCTTCCTGTTAGCTGTCAGTACCTATACCAAAAGTCGATCAAAATAAGAAACTTACTGTTAATGCTGAAGAACGTCGCCTTCAGCAAAATTTTTCTTTAAGTTATGTACGGAATAGCGGTTGTACAAGCCCCAAATACTATCCATCATTTTCTTGCTGTAATGCAGTGGTTCAGGTGGATATGTTTCATTAAATTGCATTGAAAATTTTTGGTTATTTCCGGTGGGTCCACCTCCAGAAAATCCCTCAAATTTATTTTCATTCTTGCGAATTTTGTCGGCCATGTACAGTCCTTGAGGAATTGTCGTCATCTTTCGGCACAGTTTACACAATTGACCTAAAATTTATAAAAACAACAAATACTGTGTATCTATAATCTACTTATATTGTATTTCAACCGAATGCCTTATGGGCATTAGTCTAAATGACTAAAAAAGAAACAATAGCAAGTGGTCAAATAATTTGGTAAAGTACATACGTATTGGCTACCCAATATTGATTTTGCTTGGATACAAACGGTGCACAATTTCGATATAAAATGAAAATGGTAAAACAGTCTGGTTTTAAAAAATGGTAATCATTTATTTGATTTACATTGCATCAAATGTTTTGAATATATATTAGAATTTTGCAATTGCAAATAGATAAGATAAATATTTGCTATTGATTGTTAATTTCTGGTAAATATTAGCATTTGCTTTTGGTGGACGTAGACTCAACTGAAAATGTTGATTCAAACAAACGGCTTCGTTTAAAAGCTATAATTTTTATTGTATAGCCAAGTTTTATACGAGAAATTTTGACCACTAATCAAGGTAGGTAGGCGCTAATAATTTTTTACAAACAAAAACCAACCAATTACGAAATTAGCTAGTAATTTTGAATTCAATTTTGAGAAACCGTGTAAAATGTGCTGCCTAGTCTCTTCTTTAGAAATTGTGTTATATGCGTTTAATTGTAGAGCAGAGGTCATAAACTCACAAGAAATAGGATAAATGTCTTCTTCAAGATGACGGAAATACGATGCCTTCTCAACGTTAGTTTCGATTCTCTGTAGAGTTACCATTCGTTTAGATAATCAAGAAAGAAAAAATAAAACTTTAAAATAAATTGGAACACCAATTCTTTTGCGAGCACAGCGAATAAGAACTTGGACAACAGTCGAACAACAACAGTTAGTTCAAAGTCACACGACCACTTTAAATCTTCTTTAATAGCCTTATCAACTGATATTTTATGTAAATAAAGAAAGCGCTTGTCCGGTAGAGGAATGAAAAATTGCGGTGATACAGACCAATAATTAAAATTGAAATTATATAGTTTTTAAAACAACTGTACCTTATTACTACTTTTCATTTTGATTTTAATGATATTTTTTCGTTAGTAAGAAAGGCTTCAGTTTACTGAGGTCAACTATTTAGGTGTGACCAATTTAACTGTATTTGTTGATTCGAATAAAATAACCCAATACATTTAATCAGTTGTACCTAGATAGAAATGAAGACATTGTAAAATTCATTAAAAAAAAAATCGGATGTCTGTAAAGTCGGTTTACTGACGATAGTTGAACGTGACAACGTCATAAGAAAATACTGATGCAATGGTTTCATTTTTCAAAAGAAAATTTTATTTTATTTGTTTGATAGATATTTTGTATGGATATAGAGAAGGAGGTAAATGGAAATGTATTATTGTATAGCAGCTGTCCACGCGGACGCATCGCTCACTCAAGTAGGAGAGAGACAGATGTCGAACGCTGCCGAACGCGGAGGGCGATTGTGCCTCTTTGTCGCTCGTTCCGCGCTCTCGCTTGCACTTCAAGCCTTAAATGGAACGCCTCAGAGCGAGGTAACGCCGCATGAGTCATGTTTTTTCGTCCGGCTCCATCGAATTATAAGACGTTGTCACGTCAAACATTTCTTACATACTACACATTTTCAAATATAATTTTGCTTTCTATCTCTATTACGCGGTCTTACGCCAACATAGAGTAGTGGAATCATTGCTTGGTAACCGTATTTAGTCCCGCATCTTCGTTATTATTTAAGATGTTCTAGTTCTTACAGATCAGTTTCTAAAGTCTTATATTTATTGATTAAATTCAAAGGTGTCGGCTTTGTACAATCAACGAACAAAGTACATCAAAATCCGAGGACTCTCCAAGGGTGTGACCTAATAGTAAAGTACATATTTATTACTGAATGAAACATGTAGGCCAACAAGAAATACATTTTTCGAAGTATTTATTTCGTCAAATTGGTAAAGACTTTCGCGGTCAGTAGGTGGAACTGATGATATTCTGATTCAGTCCGAGGTCCTTCCATCTCTGATATTGGATTCGGAGTCCAAAGTGGAAGGGTCTCTGAAAAAGATCGCCACTAATGCTAGCGAAACGTTAGGAAGTAACTCTTATTCGAATTTTTATAATACGAAAGAAAGAGAACACAAAAATTTTCATCTTTTTAGTGATTCATCACATCAAACAGACTGATCTTTCTCGCAAATTTCCAAAAATGAGCTATTTGACTTGGTTTATATCGTTGCTACTTGCTTAATGTCAAGCAATTTTGAAGCCGTTTGATGTCCATCTTTGGGATGTTGTTCCGGTGCATGGACAACACATTGATAATTCAACAGTAAAGTTCGACTTTTACCTGATGTCCATATAAAATAAGACAAGATTTTCACACACTTTTATTTCTCAAGTAACAATTGTTTCACCAAAAGTACTTCTTGCCAACTTTTGGTCCCATTTTGCGCTAATACAAATAGAATAACTTTAGTTAATTTATCAATTTTCAAAAACGTAGGAGCGCAATTATGTTTATCCATTAATTTAGTTGCTAAGTAAAAGTTGAAAAGGTTATCAATACATTTCGCTGAGTAGACCGTGTGTGACCAATGTAATTTGATAGAAGATATTTTTAAAGTTTGTTCTTATTAACACTTGACGACGTGCATATTTGAAGATGTACCTACAAACTTCCTTGTTACTAGAATGTCCTCCTATACTTAAAGTAGTAGTAAGTTCTTTTAATAAAAGATCACATCTTGAAGCGATTTCTGCCTCATGCTGCAGTCAGAGCTATAAAATCCATCTGGTTGAATTTATCACTCTAAACAACAAAATGTCATTAAGTCAGTCGAATTTGCAATCACCAGTTTCAACTCGTGCCTGCTCCTTTATGTAAAGTTTATAAAAATTATCTTAGATCATAATTTTAAATGTTTTTTAGTTTTAGGGATGTTATTCAAGCATTGACGGAATTACGCGTGTGATTAATTAAGTGTTGTTATAAACGTTGGATCTCAGTCGTGGACATATAAAATTTTGATGACCCCGGTTGCGATTATGATTAAATAATGTTCAGCAATTACTGAAATTCGGAAAGCTATATCACTATTTGACTTTGTAAGTAGTCTCTTGCTTCATTGATTCACACGTTTAATGCGCGATTGCTGGGTTTAATGTAAGTTCAATCGTCATATAATCAATCTCATCCAAATTGGAATTATTTTATGTTTGCTGCCACCAAACATGAAAAGTAGTCTATCGTTGTTTGAACTAATCATAGAGTATAAAGATAAATGAAGTTCATGGTGGTCAGTACCCTCTCGAAACTGCCAGACACGGATCGCGATTTCGATCTTGTTGGATCTTATCAGCTTGTCGCAGAAGTTTCGATAGAACACAGACCAACTGGAGCTGCTGCCTGAAGACGGTGTTTTATGGATCGGGATGGATCTTGCTGGGTCTNGTTGGACACGCACCTCCACTTCTTCCTATCCTGAGCTAATCTTCGCATTTCCCTAAAACTAGAACAACCCACATCCTTAACTATTTGCGAACAGTAATCTAACCTAGGCCTACCTCTACCCCTTTTAATTCCTGTTTCTGCCACTAATATGTCTCTGACTAGACCTTCATGCCTGAGAAGGTGTCCTTGCAACCTATCTCGTCTATTTCTTATTAACTTCCATAGAGTCCTCTGTTCTCCTACTCTTTCTAACACCTCTTCATTTCTAACCTTCTCTATCCACGGTATCCTCATCATTCGCGATATTCTTTAACAATTTTCAAATAACTGACATGTTTAGTACTAGTTGAATCTGTAGGCAAAGTCAAAAATAATGCTATTGATGCGATTGTCGTTCAAGAAATCATAATTTTCTAACAACACATCTCAATGAAACTGACCAATTAATGTCATCAATCTGTGGAGTAAATGTTAGAATAATTCATCATTAATGTGGAAGTGGTAACACTGATTTCCAAATTATCTTCTCCTAGATTTCTCAAAAAACTAAATACGTCATTTGCAATTCGTTAGTCTTGTATCCAAAACTTCGATAGTTACTCATTCGATGTTTTTCAAGTATGTCCAGTAGTTTTCTTGATTGTTTGTTCTCGTGCTATAGAAAAATCACCCCCTTCCCAGCCCCTACCTTTCTAAATGATCGTGCGTGCCTCAGTTTCTCAAATCTTTCAATTTCTTCAATGTCATAATCAGATCGAGTCCTTTTCTTGCAGTTGAATTTACACTCTATCTAAATCACGCCGAATGCCGAATGCCATCATCATAACAAATTTCACAATTAATGATTTCACATTTACAGAATCTTCTACTACAAATTTTACATTTGAATCGCTTTTGTGGTGTTAAAGGAAGGTTTTAAAAATACATTGACTAGAAATGATTAGAACTGGGGTGGTATTAGAAAGGGTAGGAAAACAGAGTGTTGTGGGAATTATTAAGTAATTGGCGGGATAGTTTGGTACCAGGACACCTTCTCAGATACAATTAGCTGATCAGAAGCATATTAGAAGCAAAAAGAGGGTAAGGGGTAGACCTGAACTAGATTACTGATCGGAAGAACTGAATATGCGTAAGGAATCAGTTTTTGAGTGGTTTTCTAAACTGAAACAGGCATAAATTAAAGTAATTGGAAAATGTGAAAAGCTTTTCAAAAACTGGGTCGGAAAATATAATTTCTTCTTGTATCTACTATTAGATTAACATTTGCACTTAATTGTTATCTTCTTCTTACAGGAGCCCGAGTTTTAATGTTATGTAGAAACACAGAAAAAGCGCAAGAAGCTGCTGAAGATATAAAAAAGCAATGTACTGGAAAAACAGGCCTGGGAGAGATAGTTGTCGAAGAACTGGACCTAAGCAGTTTGAAATCTATTAAAACTTGTGCCGAAAAAGTTAAAAATAATGAAGATCGCATAAATATTTTAGTTAACAACGCCGGGGTCATGATGTGTCCCTTGACCCGCACCGAAGACGGTTTCGAAATGCAATTTGGTACCAATCATTTGGGTCACTTTTATCTAACGCTACTTTTGTTGCCGAAAATTATCAAAAGTGCACCTGCCAGAATTGTTAACGTCTCTTCTTTGGCTCATAATAGTAAGTACCTAGTTTTAGTAAAACTGATCAACATTCAGGGCAGGAATAAACGAAAATTCCCGTTGGAAACCACTTATTTCAAAAGCTAATTGAGTATTATGTAGAGCGACGAGCTGTCAATTGCTAGTTTGACAGCCACGTTATCTTATCGTCTGACGCTACCGCAAGCGTCAAATGACGAAACACACATACCTATTCGTGATCTTCGTAACAACTGACACGTAGACAGGTCAGTTTCACGTAATGATAGAAGTCAGTTTAAAAAACTTCGGGAACTAAGGTGTTAATGTCAAGCAGGAGTCCTAAAATTACCATTTCGAGATAGCGTTCACGGAATGTATTTGTGAGATGTTTGTCAGTTTTTCTTTTTACAAAATACCTTGACAAAAATTTATAATCAGTATTGACGTAAAGAGCTTCATTCGTGTCCCATGACAGTTTTGTTTGATTAATTAAGTTGTTCCTGAAGGCTTTTGGACATTCCTGTTTATGAACTGTCATTTAATATAGGACTTTCCCTGGCTCTGATTACTCCGGTTTCTGCATCTATAGTTAGAATAGGATATCTTCAATGTCTCTTAGAATTCATTTTTCTGACAAATGTATTTGTATATATTATGTATCTGCTCCAACTTTCAAATAAGTTTTGTTTAAAAATAATAATCGAAAGGTTTATTGAATATTCTCAAATAAAATGCAGTTCAAGGCAATTTAATTTAATTTATTACTGCTACGATTAAGCAAGGTAAAAGCAATTACATGTAAGGTTTCATTGTTCAATATAAGATTGTTAAGCTGCTATGGTGTGTGAATAGACATTTAGGATTTACAACTGCAGTAAATCGCAATAGACAATAGTTTTAAAAATAGATACATAGTTTAATTTACTTAACTTGAAAAAATTGTTTCAGTAACTAATGCCAGTATATCTAGTTACTAATTAGATGTGTACTAATTTGTAACGCTGTCAGTATTTGAACTTAAAAGCTCCCTGAACAGTTTGCATTCTTCAATCTGAATAGATATATAAGGCAACTTTACTTATAAATGCATGTTTATTCTGCATTAAAAAGGGTTTTTTCTTATATACACTATTGCATTAGTTGTACAATGCATTTACATAATATTCAATCAGCAATTTCATGATTTTCTTCTGATGGAATTATGTAATGGTTTATCAAATTTCTTAAAGGGAAGCATACAGCATTGGTTTGTAATAAATCAGTATCTGCTAGTTTAATATAACATGACGACAAGTGAATTTAAGTTTAATAGTAGATAACTATTACAAGTTTTCTCTGAACGATTTTATTTTTAACTAAAATTTATTGATAAAGATCAACGTAGGTAACAATCCATTAAAAATCTTTCACTAATAGTGATAAACAAAGTAAGACCAAAACCAACACTAAGACTGTCTCGGTCTTCCTGTTGGTATTGGTCTTGCTTATTCGATCTTGGTCTTGGTCTTTCCTAATAGGTCTTGGTGTTGTGTATTAATAGATAGTAGGTACCTTTAGCTTACATGACCGTTGTTGAAATAAATTTAATAAATTACTATAAACAAAAAAATTTTTTNATACTAATTGTGTATATAAAATTTACACCTTTTTTTTTTTACTAGTTTTATTATTAAAGGATCGAGACTATTCACAATTAAAAATATGTACAACTATTGTAACTTAAATAACTAAACGCGTATTATTGAGAACCGTGCTTACGGCGTTTCGGCGAATAGCGACGGAACATGTTGCATCGGTTGTTTTTTCTGTATAAAAACGACTGACGAACCATCGTGAGAATTAATTGTTGTGGTGTTGTAAAAAATGCGTTTGTTCAGCGGTAAATGCACGTCCTCGGCCCGTTTGGATGGCAAGACTGCCATTGTAACGGGTTCAAATACCGGCATTGGAAAGGAAACCGTAAAAGACTTCTTTTTAAGAGGTGAGTGAAATGTTTTTTTTTTATATTTTTACAAAAAATTAACATGTTTCATTTTTCTTTTGAGGAAATTATTCATCATTTTCGGGGTAACTTTATATCTATACGCATATTATGTATGAGGCCTGTTCAAAAAGTATCCCGAATTTTGTGGTTTTTCAAAAATTATTTATTCATTCATGAATACCTATTTTGTTCCAATTCAAAGTAATCCCAATCAGATATTATCTATATTATACACTTGTGCCAACGTTTTTTCCAATCCTCGAAGCACTTCAAAAATTATTTTTTTGTGATCTTGTTCAGCTATTCCTTCGATGCCGTCTTTATCTCCTCAATCATAGTGCAGCGTCGTCCCTTCATGGGCATCTTCAGTTTCGGGAACAACAAAAAGTCACAGGGGGGCAGATCTGGGGAATACGGTGGTTGGGGCATTATTTGTGTGCTGCTTTTGGCGCACAAGCAACGATATGTGAGCACGAGCGTTATCATGGTGCAAAAGCCAATTTTTATTCTTCCACAAATCCGGGCGTTTCTTCGCGCAAATTGCACATAACTTGCAGGAAATATTCCTTATTGACCGTTCTACCCTGTGGCAAGAACTCATGATACACCACGCTCCTGCAATCCATTGGGATGATTGAGCTTTGGTCCAACAGTTTCTTAGCAATGTTTATGCGATGCTGTTTTTAGTCGAAATTGAGCAGTTTTGGTACGAATTTTACGGCAACCCGTCTCATGCCCAAATCATTAGTAAAAATCGAATAGCAGGAGCCTATCGATACGTTTAGGTCCACCACAAACCTCGTATGAACTAAAGTTTCAGCTTCTCGACTCTTGCTTTTCCGACTGGCCTCAAGTATTCAGTCAGGAAAAGCTTGGAAAACATTTATATCAACCGGGGATGTCTTAAAATTACAGTTAACTTTAATTTTTGCCTATTTGTATGCTCTGAACACCCTGACAAGGCTTTATTAAATTATTGGGTAAATAAATGGTTATTAGGCCAATAAGACTAGAATCAAAATATGTAGGTGTCGAATAAAAGGTGACATTTAGGTCTCAATCGATACCTTATATCGCTTCACCTGGATGAATGTCGCGGGTCAAAGCCAGTTGATAATAAATATTCTGTATGAAATCAATAAAAAAGAAATTATCTAGTCATTGGATTCGCTCTTTCTCCTATCAAAAAAATATAGGTACTAATTTTGAGTTACAACCATAAAAACCTTATTCATATTCATAGATACTTTTCTGGTTTCTCTATTATTAATTTGAATTATATTGATAGTCCTGTTGTGCTCAGTATTATTTGAAATCAAGGGCCAATAATTATTTATTAGTTATTAACAGATAATTAGGTACAAGGAATGAAGCCAAGGTTGATAAATGTTTAAGAAAACACATTAAAAATAATATGTTTACTTCATCATCTTCTTAATGTGATAAACACCTTACTAACTATAACGAATAAGAAAATATTTTTCAACTTTAAACTTCTTTTGACTACTCATCAATACTAGGATCGCATGTGGCGCAATTTGATTTCGCAATTCCGTTCAAATCAGAAAACATACCTATATACTGCCTTCCCGAATAGACCATCCAGAAATTTCAACATTCACGTATAACTGTGTAACAATGTTCTATGTATGTATGGTTTTAGCGTAAGGGAATCCACATTATGTGACCCGTAGTATATGCCAAAACCTACCCTCTAGTTTTCATGTAGTAATTCATAAATATCATTTTAAATATCGAAAAAAAACGCTTGATTTCTCTAGAGTATATTGAGTACGTGACGAAAACATAAAACCTCCCTGCACCCCTGTGACCAAGCTTGGTATTTTTGAAGACCTGTTCCCCCCTGACTGGTCACTAATATGGTTTCCTAAGTACCTACCCAGGCTTGTAACGTCATTTTGTATAGCTATCTCCATTCACAAAACAAAAATGCGGATTCACTAGAATATTAAGGTTGGAATTAACTAATGTCCCACACCACCCTTTACTGAGTGTGAGTGTACTGCCCATCCTTTGTCCTAATTTCTACCTTTTCTCTCTCTCTCTCTCTCTCTCTCTCTCTCTCTCTCTCTCTCCCATCGTCGTAATATTTAACATTAACAGTTCACTTATTTTATACTTAACTCAGATATGTTGAACCAACCATTCCATATTCGTCTATCCGTATCCCTGGATATAGAGCGATAGAAATGAAGAGATATTGGAAAGAATAGGTGAAAGAGGACTGTATGGAAGTCAATAAAAAATAGGTGAGATAGGTTGGTAGGTCACCTTCTCAGGCATGAATTGTTGGTCAGAGATATTTTAGAGGCGGAAACGGGAGTTAAGAGGAGTAGAGTGAGATCTAGATTAGATTACTGTTCGCGAATATTTAAGGATGTGGGTTGTTCTAGTTTTAGAGAAATGCGAAGATTAGCTCAGGATAGAAAGGAGTGGAGGTGCGTGTCCAGCCAGTCTTAGGCCTGACGACCTTAATGTGTTGATGATGTGCTTCATTTAAGTTCCACACAAGTTTCGTTTCGTAGGTATTTTTTATCAGTCTAAAAACTTACCAAATAAGTGAAAAAACACCTGTTTACTGCTTAAAGATTGTGTAAGATTTGCTAACTTTTTGAACCTTGTCATGCACATCATGTAGGCACCTACATGTTTCTCATGTCGACTCATTTCCTAGGTAACATAATAAGAATTTAATTGACGTTAAAAAGTGTCCTTGTACAAGACACTACGTTGTTTATGTCATATACACTCATTAATCTTTCGACCTTTGCAATGAGAACGGCTTCTTTTATTACATGTGCAACAGTCAGAACTTGTCAATGATCAAGATCAAGCGAGTCAATATTTTTTCGATAAATTAATTGATGCCTACTGGCTTTCAGCATCTCATTTTTAAAGGTGTAAATTACTTCATAACTGCCTCATGAACATTATTTACTATGTCATAAACAAAGCCGTAACACAAAATTGTCAAGTAATAGTTTATTTTTCTGTAAGCACTTAAACAGATGTAATTATGAAGGATGATTGTTATATTCGTGTAGATACTTAAGACAGATGATAATAGATGATAGACCCCAGATGACTCTAAGTGTTCACAATGTGTTCATAACAGTAGTTCCGGTTTATGTGGATTGCAGTGGAGGTTTAAACAAATAACACCCGGTTGGCAAGCTTTCAAGGGTACAATTGAAAAAATTGTAGTAGTAATGTAAAGAAAGACTGAATTATCTAACTTTGAATCCTCAATTTCCTTTCTGTTCATCTAAAGGGTACAAAAATTATTAAATGAGGTTTTAGCTAGGGAAACTCAGCGATATTCTTTCATCATCATCATAAAGTCGTCAGTCTTAAGACATGCACCTCCACTTCTTCCTATTGTGAGCTAATCTTCGCATTTCCCTAAAACTAGAACAACCGACATCCTTAACTATTTGTGAAAAGTAATCTAATCCAGACTTACTTATACCCCTCCTAACTCCCGTTTCTGCCTCTAATATGTCTCTGACTAGACCTTCATGCCTGAGAAGGTGTCCTTGCAGCCTATCTCGTCTATTTCTTATTAACTTCCATAGAGTCCTCTGTGCTCCTACTCTTTCTAACACCTCTTCATTTCTAACCTTCTCTATCCACGGTATCCTCATCATTCGTGATATTCTTTAACAATTTTCAAATAACTGACATGTTTAGTACTAGTTGAATCTGTAGGCAAAGTCAAAAATAATGCTATTGATGCGATTGTCGTTCAAGAAATCATAATTTTCTAACAACACATCTCAATGAAACTGACCAATTAATGTCATCAATCTGTGGAGTAAATGTTAGAATAATTCATCATTAATGTGGAAGTGGTAACACTGATTTCCAAATTATCTTCTCCTAGATTTCTCAAAAAACTAAATACGTCATTTGCAATTCGTTAGTCTTGTATCCAAAACTTCGATAGTTACTCATTCGATGTTTTTCAAGTATGTCCAGTAGTTTTATTGATTATTTGTTCTCGTGCTATAGAAAAATCACCCCCTTCCCAGCCCCTACCTTTCTAAATGATCGTGCGTGCCTCAGTTTCTCAAATCTTTCAATTTCTTCAATGTCATAATCAGATCGAGTCCTTTTCTTGCAGTTGAATTTACACTCTATCTAAATCACGCCGAATGCCGAATGCCATCATCATAACAAATTTCACAATTAATGATTTCACATTTACAGAATCTTCTACTACAAATTTTACATTTGAATCGCTTTTGTGGTGTTAAAGGAAGGTTTTAAAAATACATTGACTAGAAATGATTAGAACTGGGGTGGTATTAGAAAGGGTAGGAAAACAGAGTGTTGTGGGAATTATTAAGTAATTGGCGGGATAGTTTGGTACCAGGATACCTTCTCAGATACAATTAGCTGATCAGAAGCATATTAGAAGCAAAAAGAGGGTAAGGGGTAGACCTGAACTAGATTACTGATCGGAAGAACTGAATATGGGTAAAGAATCAGTTTTTGAGTGGTTTTCTAAACTGAAACAGGCATAAATTAAAGTAATTGGAAAATGTGAAAAGCTTTTCAAAAACTGGGTCGGAAAATATAATTTCTTCTTGTACCTACTATTAGATTAACATTTGCACTTAATTGTTATCTTCTTCTTACAGGAGCCCGAGTTTTAATGTTATGTAGAAACACAGAAAAAGCACAAGAAGCTGCTGAAGATATAAAAAAGCAATGTACTGGAAAAACAGGCCTGGGAGAGATAGTTGTCGAAGAACTGGACCTAAGCAGTTTGAAATCTATTAAAACTTGTGCCGAAAAAGTTAAAAATAATGAAGATCGCATAAATATTTTAGTTAACAACGCCGGGGTCATGATGTGTCCCTTGACCCGCACCGAAGACGGTTTCGAAATGCAATTTGGTACCAATCATTTGGGTCACTTTTATCTAACGCTACTTTTGTTGCCGAAAATTATCAAAAGTGCACCTGCCAGAATTGTTAACGTCTCTTCTTTGGCTCATAATAGTAAGTACCTAGTTTTAGTAAAACTGATCAACATTCAGGGCAGGAATAAACGAAAATTCCCGTTGGAAACCACTTATTTCAAAAGCTAATTGAGTATTATGTAGAGCGACGAGCTGTCAATTGCTAGTTTGACAGCCACGTTATCTTATCGTCTGACGCTACCGCAAGCGTCAAATGACGAAACACACATACCTATTCGTGATCTTCGTAACAACTGACACGTAGACAGGTCAGTTTCACGTAATGATAGAAGTCAGTTTAAAAAACTTCGGGAACTAATGTGTTAATGTCAAGCAGGAGTCCTAAAATTACCATTTCGAGATAGCGTTCACGGAATGTATTTGTGAGATGTTTGTCAGTTTTTCTTTTTACAAAATACCTTGACAAAAATTTATAATCAGTATTGACGTAAAGAGCTTCATTCGTGTCCCATGACAGTTTTGTTTGATTAATTAAGTTGTTCCTGAAGGCTTTTGGACATTCCTGTTTATGAACTGTCATTTAATATAGGACTTTCCCTGGCTCTGATTACTCCGGTTTCTGCATCTATAGTTAGAATAGGATATCTTCAATGTCTCTTAGAATTCATTTTTCTGACAAATGTATTTGTATATATTAAGTATCTGCTCCAACTTTCAAATAAGTTTTGTTTAATAATAATAATCGAAAGGTTTATTGAATATTCTCAAATAAAATGCAGTTCAAGGCAATTTAATTTAATTTATTACTGCTACGATTAAGCAAGGTAAAAGCAATTACATGTAAGGTTTCATTGTTCAATATAAGATTGTTAAGCTGCTATGGTGTGTGAATAGAAATCTAGGATTTACAACTGCAGTAAATCGCAATAGACAATAATTTTAAAAATAGATACATAGTTTAATTTACTTAACTTGAAAAAAATTGTTTCAGTAACTAATGCCAGCATATCTAGTTACTAATTAGATGTGTACTAATTTGTAATGCTGTCAGTATTTGAACTTAAAAGCTCCCTGAACAGTTTGCATTCTTCAATCTGAATAGATATATAAGGCAACTTTACTTATAAATGCATGTTTATTCTGCATTAAAAAGGGTTTTTTCTTATATACACTATTGCATTAGTTGTACAATGCATTTACATAATATTCAATCAGCAATTTCATGATTTTCTTCTGATGGAATTATGTAATGGTTTATCAAATTTCTTAAAGGGAAGCATACAGCATTGGTTTGTAATAAATCAGTATCTGCTAGTTTAATATAACATGACGACAAGTGAATTTAAGTTTAATAGTAGATAACTATTACAAGTTTTCTCTGAACGATTTTATTTTTAACTAAAATTTATTGATAAAGATCAACGTAGGTAACAATCCATTAAAAATCTTTCACTAATAGTGATAAACAAAGTAAGACCAAAACCAACACTAAGACTGTCTCGGTCTTCCTGTTGGTATTGGTCTTGCTTATTCGATCTTGGTCTTGGTCTTTCCTAATAGGTCTTGGTGTTGTGTATTAATAGATAGTAGGTACCTTTAGCTTACATGACCGTTGTTGAAATAAATTTAATAAATTACTATAAACAAAAAAATTTTTTAACGACAATATTGTTATTAAATTATAAAAATATTGTATAGATACCTACATGTTATGAAACATGTTTCGGTATTCAAATTTTGAATATTTCGAGAGAAATTGATAAACAAAGTCAATTTTAATATCAAAAGGTACATTAAACCGTTGACTGAACTAATACTGAATTTACACTTGGTATCTGTGGTAAATATCTGTACACATATTATGGTTTCTTATTTTATTATAATTACAGGAGGTCAAATGAATTTCGACGATTTGAATTGGGAGAAGAGAAACTACAGCGCAGTTGGCGCGTACGGCCAAAGTAAATTAGCAAATATTTTATTTACGAAAGAATTAGCCAGAAGGTTACAAGGTAAGCAACTTAATAGGTATTTTTGAAAGAAAAATTGCTTTGTGGCTACAAAAGTAGACGTATGTATATTTGCGTAAACATTGGTATTTAATATGTACCTACTTACAATGTGCTTTGAAAAAGTTTTTGGATTCAGTGATGTGTTACCTGTAATATTTTCCCTTCATTGTTTTTTCATTTTTAATTCATCATCACTTCATGATCATTATCGTAGAATAGGCGATACAATTAAAAATAGTGATGAACAAAGTGAGACTAAGACCAAAACTGTCCTAATCTCGGTCTTTGTGTTGGTCTTGCGTGTTAAGACTTGGTCTGACTTTATCTGGTACTTGTTTTTTTAATAATTCTTCTAAGCACAAACTTTTCTATTTACCGACATAATAATCGTAAATTTATGTTGAAATTTCTGTCATACATGTGACTTTTGTCACATGTGTGTTATGAAAACTCAAATGAATAAATTGACCCTTCCTCTAGCGCATAAGTGGACCTTTTAGCGAACAAAATGGTACAAGGTATTTGAAATAAGTAAATAATATCGAAAAAGAATTAGTTTGTCTCTATATTTCAACCATGTGGTATTCAGACGTAGGAATAAAGAACAGTTAATTGAAGGAAATTCGTACAGATCCCTCTTTTCAAACACTGGTGAAGTTTTTTTTGTCTTAAGTGTTTAATGTCTGCGAACGGTTTATTTAGAAATTCGAAAAAGATTGTTAAAGGTGTTTGGAGACCGGCGCTGTACGGGTGCGAAATGTAGACGGTGGGTGCGGCGGAAAAGAAAAGGTTAGAAGCGTTCGAAATGTAGTGTTACCGACGAATGATGAGGATATCGTGGATAGAGAAGGTTAGAAATGAAGAGATATTAAAAAGTGTAGGAGAACGGAGGACTCTATGGAAGTCAATAAGAAATAGGCGAGATAGGTTGGTAGGACACCTTCTCAGGCATGAAAGTCTAGTCAGAAACATATTATAGGAAGAAAAGAGAGTTAGGAGGTGTAGAGGTAGATCTAGATTAGATTACTGTTCGGAAATAGTTAAGGATGTGGGTTGTTCTAGTTTTAGGGAAACGCGAAGACTAGCTCAGGATAGGAAAGAGTGAAGGTGCGTATCCAACCAGTTTTAGGACTGACGACCTTATGATGATAAAGTGTTCATATCTAGTAAAGCAAACTAATAATTTGAATTACTAAAAGTGTTTTGTTTAATGAAAAGAATAGCTATATTAAAGTTGCTTCCAATAGAACAAACAGAATAGCTCAAAACCCCAACGCCAAAACACGAAAAGTGCTTCGGACAACTACAGTGTCGTGTTTTGGCGTTGGGGTTTTGAGCTATTCTGTTTGTTCTACAACAACCGCCAAAGTTTTTCCAATCTTCATATTGCTTCCAATAGTTTTAACTCATAAATCCACAGGAAGTAATAGTTTGTCGTTTAGTCTTGGTCTTGTTCATTGGATCTTGTTCTTGATCTTGAAAGTATAAAGACAGTCATGGTCTTGGTTTTGGTCTTGTGATAGTGCAAAACCAAGACCAATCATAAAGAGACAAACTTTTCATTAACCTACTTCTGATTAAGTTTTGGGATTGTAGCGGTCAGATAAATACAACATTAAGAGTATGTAATTGTACTTGTTCGTGATCTTCTTATTCTTATTTTGATTTTGTTAAATAGATAGGTATTTAAATTAGAAATTATTATCACCTGCCAGCAGTTACATATTTTAATCTCATTTATAGCTAATACATACGTAAAAACGATATGTTTAAAACAAAAATTAAAGAGTTTGACGCTAAAGCACACATTTTTCTTAACTGGAATTTTATCTAATTCCAACATAACAGATTGCATTTAGGAGATTTGACTATAATTTGTTTAGTAAGTGAATTAAAATAAACTCACTCAAGTTTTAATGATGAACTGTATAGATATGATGTATTACTTTTGGTAACATCAAAATAGATAAAAGTTATAAGTTTAAAAAGTTATCCCGTTGTAACATTCTTTGCAAACATGACATTCCACACACGGTGTGTTTGTATAGATCGGTTTGAGTAATAATGATAAAAAAGTAAAACGTTTCTTAAAAAGGCAAAAGTATTGTTTATTAATTCGCAACCAATTTTTGCTGTTATTTATTTACAGGTAAGGCAGAAACGTAGAAATTACACATTTCTTTGCCAGAATTTATCTGTTCATGTAGTGCAAACGAAAATACATAATTCGCTGTAGGGTGGAATATGTTTCTTCAACCACATCTTTCTGATAATCGCTCCCTTCCTCTACTTAAAAAGATCGGAATGTTTTAAGTAGCGTGTATTATAAAAATTTTACGCTTGAAACAAATTAAATTTTATAGTAAATTAAAAACTGTAGAATATAATAAGCATGTAGTCGTTGAATGTATAGGTACCAACATAAACCAAAAAATACATAAATCATAATTTTGGAAGGTCTTACATTGGAGATAATATTGTGAAAATAATGATAAATTGTAATTGATATCGAGTACAAAGCTCAAACTTTTTAAACCCAAATTTATATATGTTGAAAACAAGCAGTAAAAATATATTTGTAAGTAATACCTATCAACCTTCAAGTAATAATTTCTTGTGGGACCATTTGCAAAACAATTTTTATTTGTAGGTCAAGTATTAAATAATTTACNAACACAGACCAACTGGAGCTGCTGCCTGAAGACGGTGTTTTATGGATCGGGATGGATCTTGCTGGGTCTTCTCAGCTTGTCGCAGAAGTTTCGATAGAACACAGACCAACTGGAGCTGCTGCCTGAAGACGGTGTTTTATGGATCGGGATGGATCTTGCTTGGTCTTCTCAGCTTGTTGCAGAAGTTTCGACAGAACGCAGACAAACTCTACCTGCTGTCTTGAGACAGTGTTTCATGGATCTCAATTTTCATCTTGCTGGACCTCATCAGCGCTTCGACAGAACGGACAAAATATAGACCAACTCCACCTGTTCCCTTGGAACAGTGGTTCTATGAAATCCTGAATGAAGTAAAATGTGAGGAAGGTCGGAAGAACTAATTGTAATTGTTCATTAGCTCTATTGGTCAAGATGGATACTACACAAATGAAGATTAAATACTATTTCAGTTGACAATAAGTTGTCTACGTTTCGTTACTAATAGTTTTGTATACTTATGGTTACTTTTCGACATAATCATCTTAACCACATAGGTATTTGTTATAGCCTTGGGAAAGCTTATTTCATAAAATTTTGATAACATTAATGAGTCTTGTCGTTGTCTTACTGTCTGCTCATCCTTAGTTTGGAGATATTGCCCTTGTGGCAACTCTTTCAATTCAGGAAAAAGACTGAAGCCACTTCCACTAGGTCAGGATTGCATGACGAGTGGTTGAAAACGTTCTATTGAGTGAATAAATTTCTCTTTCAATCGGGCCCAAAACTTTTATAACTAGTTCCGTAATGGAGTGGTGAGGTGGAGGGGTTAAGCAACGCGTTACTGTACCGTTATGTGGGTGGAAGAGGAAGATAATTTATGGTAAACCCGTTAGCAGATGTGTCTTCCTTAGCACGACCAGCAGTTGAAATAATTATGCAAAAAATCAAAGATACAACCCAGTGGTATAAAATACAACCCATCAGTAACTAACTTGAAGGTTTTTTGGTTTATTCAAATTATTGAGGAATCTATGAAAGAAATAATATTTAAATTCATAATATAACCAGACTAATGAGGGTACATTTCTGTTGAAATATTTGTTCTTTTTCTTCTTCACCAAGTCCTGCATAAGTATTAGTTTGGTTATTGTAGGTTGTGGTACTTAGGGTAGGTTCGCTTATGGAGGGTAAAAGCTCTCCCGTTCCCCTATGGGCTTTTCTTGTCTCATTGCATAGGTGAGGCTGTAAATGCAGCATTTGTTATCATTCCTTTTCGATCAGACATTATTCAACTCTATTTGCAAAAAGTTCATGAAAGTTTTCCGCAGTAATTGTTCCATTTTAAGTCATTTCGAAAAAATCGTGATGCGAAACTTTTACTTTAGTAGTTTTGGTACTTCTCTTGGGTTTTATCTTGTTCAAGGATTTCATATATTTACTTAGATTAAAACTTGTCGCTACTACATACATACAGTGATACGATGTGATATGGATTATGTAACCGTTTCAATAAAAGTTTAACAAAAAAAAACAACTTTTTAAGTACGAAATCTGTCATACTATCATTAGACGTTGTCAAAATTTTGTCATTTCAGTAATTTACACTTTGCGTTCCGGCTTGTTCTGCTTTGCAAAAAGTAACGCGTACGGATAGGAACGTGAAGGAATCGCGTCCTTCCGTTTTGTTATGTACTTTTCGCCTTGATTATTGACTGAACTGTTGTGAACTCATCCATTGGAGCGGCTTGTTATGTACACATAATATAAAGTGCGTTGTACATAGGTATATATATATTCATGTAGATGTATGTACAAATATCCTTGTGGGTGTCGATTTAACGCGAAGCCGAGCCGCGACGGAGAATTGTAATACTCTCCTGATACCAACCTGGATGCATGAGAAACCACACAATCCACTACGTTTGTTACTAAACTATTAATGTAAAACAACAGACCGATAAACCGTAAGTTTGATTGCGCATATATTAGAATTCTATTCGAAAGACACGTGATATTATTGTGGGGTCCAGTGTTTTTTAGTGAATAAGTTAGTTTGCTGTTGTTGCATCGGTTGTTTTTTTTGTATAAAAACGACTGACGAACCATCGTGAGAATTAATTGTTGTGGTGTTGTAAAAAATGCGTTTGTTCAGCGGTAAATNAATTTACATCTTTTTTTTTTTACTAGTTTTATTATTAAAGGATCGAGACTATTCACAATTAAAAATATGTACAACTATTGTAACTTAAATAACTAAACGCGTATTATTGAGAACCGTGCTTACGGCGTTTCGGCGAATAGCGACGGAACATGTTGCATCGGTTGTTTTTTCTGTATAAAAACGACTGA